TTGAGCCCTCAGTATACATCACGAATTTCATTAGATCCGCTCTTAGTTTATCTCTCCTCGGCAGTTTACATCAGATTTATCTTTCTTCAGGGTAGAAATCCACCCTTGGTAATCATATAAACCAACCCTCACTCGTGGAGCTGAGTCCTTCTTGAGAAGCCGCCAATTGTGTAGCTGCTGAAGAATTTCCCAGCATTTTATGGAACCCGAAGGTTCATTACCGTGTTCACAGGAGCCCTCCACTGGTCTCTATCCTCAGCCAGATCAATTCAGCCCATACCATCCTATCCTATCTCTCTCAGATCCATTTTAATATTGTCCACCCACCTATTCCTTGGTCTTCCCAGTGGTCTCTTTCCGTCTGGCTTTCCCACGAATATCCTATATGGATTTCTCTTCTCCCCCATTCGTGCTACATGTCCTGCCCACCTCATTATCTTTGACTTAATCATATAAACCAACCGACAGAATTTTTTTCTCAACGTCAGTAAAAAGTGATGCGGACAAGATGGTGTTCTTGAATAGTCTAATGGCAAGCATTTTTCTGAATGTTCAGTTGTGAACGGAATTTGTTTTTGTTATTTCTCTTCCGACCAGTGCCAGGCTCTTGTGAGCACTGCAGTGAATCCTCGGGCCACCATAAATGACTGGGAATTTTTTGACTAGCTGAGCGACTAGTAGTTCGTTAAGAAGGACTCAGTTCCATGGAGTTGATTACTTCTGTTCCCGATTGTTTAAATTCTGTGACATTTCCGATGATCTCTTATGACATTTATTCGTTCATTCGCATTCCTGTTGCTCCCTCTGGAGCACGGGACATCCATGAAACGCTTCATTTCACTTAAGTATATCAGTCTTTAGGCAGTCGGTAGGACTCCTTAGAGTTTGGATCAGCCCGTCGCAAGGCCGCTACCTGCACCGGACAACACAGACACTGCATAAACGCAGACAGACATCCATGCCTCGAGTGGAATTCGAACCCACGACCCCAGTGTTCGAGCGGGCGAAGACAGTTCATGCCTTAGACCCCGCGGCCACTGAGATCGGCAATATTATGACAGAATAAGTATTATTATCTGACATTACGGAAGATAAATGAAAATTACATTCACGCATTGAGTCGGACGAACACACTCGCTTGAGATGATATGAGCAGTTAATCAAACATAAGTTTCCTCAGTGTGCGCCTGCTAATCTGGAAAGAAGTTGCCTTCTTGAATTCGGTGACGTTCCTCGGAAATTTCTGTTGCATCACAGTTGCCAGTTTCGTTGGTCCTTAATATTCATCGCCGTGAGTACATGAGATCTCATATGAGTTATTCCCTGTTGTTCTCTGTACAGTATTAATCGTGTCACATGTTTTAATGTCGTGGCAATAATACGAAAATGGGAGCTTAAAAGCCAGAACTCATGAGACTTCCAGCATCTTGAAACATGGCATAATTCTATGTATGACACAAACTCCGTCCTAAGAGCAACTATTTATTGTAGTTCTTTTGTCTCCTTTTCTTCTACACTACATGTTTCGGCCGTAAATGACCATCATGAGGTGTATTCTCTCACGTAGCTGTTACACTGCACGTAGTTTAAAATTTTAAAAACGCCAGCTTCCTTAATTGTTCATTTCTCCGTTGTTAATAGGTCCCGATATATCAGAATCCTCTTGCTGATATTTGTCAGATATGTATAAAATTTTTGTTAATTTACATACGTCAATTTGATTTTTGAATTTTGGTATTTTTAAAATCTTCAATTTAAATTTAATTTTTTTTATTTAAAATTTTAATTTTTTTAAAGTAAAATTCACAGGGATACCTGCTTAAATATAATATTGGCATAATTCTATTTAAAATATTCGTCATATTCGTTTACCGTTTGCATGTTACTTGGTGCCTTAAATTGTTATATGTTATAGTGTAGACTTTATTGCCATGAGAAGAAATAAAATCTTAAAATGACTGTACATTACGGTTGTTTGTGACTGCTACCAGAAGCAGATACAAAACCTGATTTCAGATTAAGAGGATGATCAAACGGGTTTCAGTCATATCCACGCCGTACCACCGAGAACACATCTCCATTTTCACACAAAAGTGATACATAGGCCTACATTATGACCTCTTCAGAGTAACAGATGTATACATAAACATTGATCCGAAAACGTAAAGTGACCACTTGGAAGGCCTGAGTGTATATTAGAGGATAATATTAAAATTATTACAAAAGTTTAATCAGTTCCGTCCAGTGTGACTGATAAAATTATTTTTATTTCTTTTATCTGAGGTGTAATCGATGGATTACAGCTCTTCAAGCCAACTTAGTACAATAGAATAATTATTGTACATGACAGAAAATTAGCTCATAGAATGCAAATTCAGATTGCTAATAAATGATAAATAAAAAAAAATCTTTTATCCTTGACATGTTTCGGTCTTAAAGACCATTTTCAGAGGGATATTACTGACCAAACACACTGTAATAGTAGTTTCTGCCCGTATTGATATATCCCTCTGAAGACGGTCTCTAAGACCGAAACATGTCAAGGATAAAAGATTAAAAAGGAAAGGAAGAAAAGTCATTTTATCAGTCACACTGGACGGAGTTGATTAACATTTTATAATATTGCTAGTGTGACGGACCAGGATGAACCAGATCATATTAAAATTACTTTTAAAGAAACTTGATGGGGAGTGAGCAATAAAGTAATTTTGTTTTCAAGTTAAGGGACCAATGGCTGGCCTTCGGATTCCATATTGGACGGAGAGTATTTTGATTAACTGCTGGTCCATCAAGAAGGTCCCTGCTGCTAAAAGTTAGTTCACTTAAATTGATTGCTTGTTCTGTAAAATGTATTTAATTCTTACAGAAGGCCGCGCCATAGCTCAAGCGGTTAGTCGCTGGCTTTCCACCGCGGCGGCCCGGGTTCGATCCCGAGTCTGGTCAAGTGGGATTTGTGGTGGACAAAGTGGCGCTGGGGCAGGTTTTTCCGAGTACTTCGGTTTTCCCTGCCAATCTTAATTCCACCAATTACTCCACAATCACCCTCACCTATCATCTGGGGCTGGTACCATAGGCCAGAAGTGGCCGCAGTACAAGGGACTTAGCCCCACCCCATTATCAATAAAAAAATAATAGTTCTTACAGAATGCTTCCGTGAGTTTAAAAGAGTTTATATATGAAAATCTGATTTGAGTATGATCTGTATGACATATATGGTTTATATTAAATAATTTTAATTCCAAATTCCATTTTATACGGATTAAGACAGTTTATAATGTCATGGACTGAAATGATGAAGACACATTGATTCAAATTTGCGACATTGCCCCTTTGTTCTTTTATTGCTGAGTCATTCCTACTATTATATCAGTGGCTAGTACAATGAATGCTGTTTATGACAATAACATCAAAATAAAAAATCCGTTCTATGGCTAGTCATTTTTCGTAGATGACATATATGCGGGCGTGTCTTGTATCATGAACACTGATGTACGAAGCTTTGCCGGCGTGTGTTTCCCACTTAAAACTTGCGAACGAAATGGGTTTCATGTTCAGATCTCCGTAAGTAATAATTTTTAACCTATTCGGGCATATTATACTACTTCTGAATTTATACACCTATAAACCAAAATGCTTTCAGCCAGGATAGCGTAGTCAGTATAGCGAGTGGCTACGAGCTGGAAGACCGAAAGGTCGGAGTTAAGAGTCCCGGTAGGGTCAGAAATTTTCTCCAAGTCGTCCAGACCGGCTTTGGGGTCCATCCAACCTCTTATCTAATGGGTCCCAAGGGTAAAGCGGCCGGGGCATGAATCTGACCACTCGCCTCCAACTAGTGCCCAGGTCAAGAAAATGTGGATCTGTACATCCACTCCTCCATACGGTTTCATGGCGTAGTGCTTAATTAGTTAAGCACAGGGGTAGCTTTACCTTTTTACCTTCATGAACCAGAATGCTTACAGGTACGTGCTTCCCTCGGAAGGAATTTTGGGTGCCCACAATAATTTTAAAACATTCGTAACTTTAATCGGAGTTCTCACGGCCTTACTATAAAGAATATTGTCATCTAGGATTTGACGCCTTTTATAACAAGAAGATGTACATTTGGGAGCTGGGATAGCTCAGTCAGTCTAGGGACTGTTTTATAAACTGGACGGCCAGGAATCGGCGTTCAGTTCCTGGTAGGGGCAAGGATTATTCTTTCTGCGACGTCGTCCAAACCGGCTGTTGACCCCACCCTATCCAATAGGTAACAGAGGATCTTTCGCCGGAGGTAATGGTGACCGCTCACGTCCATCTTTTGCCAGGTTAGGACTGAGTGTTGCTACAGCTACTCTCCCCTATACATCTTCATGGCGTGGTGCTTAATTAGACACAGAGACCACTTGGGATTAATATATATTCATGGTACATTTAGGGCATACATACAAAATAGAAAATAAAAGATATTGCCTAAATAAATTTAAACTTTAGGTATTACTACGTAAGATGGTTCCAATATATAGGACGAATGGAAAAGTCCTATCTCGCAATAACAGTGTGTTAATATTAACCTAAAGAGAAAAGAAGTCCGGAACGACCATAAAAGCGATAAATAGACTCGTCGAATTTCGCAATTTTTAAAATGAGACGAGTTTTAACACCTTTAAAAATATCCCTATACAAGAATAAATCTAAACACCTCTCTTCACGATGGTGAAGATGCTTATGTTTTAATTGAAACTTTACATTATATACGGGAAAGGCATATTGCCATATGGCGATATGCATGTAACGTGTCAGGTCAGAAGAACTGGCATGTTCAGCGGTTTATTTTGTTTCTTTTAGTGTCAGTTTTTATAGTATCTCTTGGAATACTAATGTTCTATAAAATGTATTAAAAGATACTCTTTAAAAGTTATTCACTACATGTTTCGACCAATCTTGTCTTGTTTTCAAAACAAGACACGCAACACAACACACAACAGCAAAGAATACAACCCACCAACGGAAACACGCATGCGCATCGAGAGGAAAACGAAACAGAAGGTTCAGTATCTCGTCCAATCATTTTAACACCTGATGATGACTACATTTGTCGAAACATGTGAAAAGTTTTAAATTGAATGTCTTTTAATAAATTGTATAGAACATTAATGTTGCACATGAGACTGAAAAAAAAAAACTGACACTAATGGAAAAGTGCAACAGGATGCTATAATATAATAATATTCTATTTCTTTATTAATGGTATCGTCACACGATAACCTATGTCTGATTTTCCTCTGACTTTCAAGTGACCTAGTCCTGTTTTCATAAAAGTAATGTCAATATAACTTGGCGTGTATGTGAAACAAACATGATTTACCTGCGGTATTTGGCGAAGAATTGCGGCCCGTTATCCCTGCTCCAGTCTTGAGGGACTAGATGACGCGCAGACTGGCGATCTCGTTATGCTGAGGAGCGAAACTCAGAGAGTTGCAGGTCGAAGAGCCAGGTGAGTGCGCCCGTCACCACCTCTGCTCTTCTGGACAATCTTGTCCTTTGACATATCGGAGCCAATTTATATACAGGTACAATCCTACGCTCTTGTACGCTCTTGCCACTTGAATTTTTCTGTATTTTTTTTTCTTGTGTTTGTCTTGAACTTGTGATAGGTTTGATGTTATCATAATGATGTCAAATATACGTGCGTACGTGTCAATCTACAAGTTTAACACCCCCCCCCATCCCACCCATCCCCAAGTAAGATAAAGGTAGAAGAGGCTGTGTGATCCAAGAGCGACCCATGTAACGTAGTCGTTGGTTAAAATGTTTGTTATGTAATTCTTCAGATTGTATCAAAGAACAAATATAATGTCTCAACGAATTATTAATTGCGTAAACCTTGTTCCAATCAGTACATAAACATGTTTGCCAGTTTTTTTTGTGATTCTGATAAAATATTTTGTGTTACGGTTAAGAGGTTCAGGCCAAAGTCACTAAAGGTCACTTTTCAGGAGAGAGGAAAGCAAATTTAAACTTGTTGGATGTTAGGTTCTCACAGTGGTGACAATGAATAGTACTGTCTTCTGGGTTGTAGCGCCATATATAGCTCGATAGAAGTTTAACGAGGTTTCTGAGGAACGTACTGCGTCCATCTTCAGGGTCGGGCCCTGTGTGTATCCTTCTTGCTGGTTTTTTATTTAGCTTACTCTCAGACCCTGAAGGTGGAGGCAGTGTAATCCTCCGAAACGTCGGTGAACTTGTACCGGACTACAGGGTGGTGGTACTCTTCCATTTGAAACACGTTTGCGGTATTGTGCTGTAGTGACATACTTGTAACTCGATTTTAAAATGGTACTTTTAATAAGCAGAATTTCCTGATTAATTGCTCTTATTTTGACCAATATTTTACTTAATTTCCGTAACACTACAGAATATTCTTTTGGGCGTACACTTGGAGTATGTTGTTATTGTACAGCGCATGTTTCCACGCCCGTGTCTGCAAGGTCTGCGCGAAGGCAAGTAGTGGGATTGCGGATAACTCTTTGTAGAGTTCACTAGTAGGTGCTGAGTGGTCAGCTTAACACTTCTGCTACATCCTCAAGGACTGCCCATCGGACAGGAAGCTGATGAGTCCCAGAGTTGTCGATATGGACAAGGCAAAGTCGATTAACTGCACGATGTCATGTCACAGTATAGTAAAAAGTAAAGCTATCCCTTTCACATGCCGTGGAGGCCCATAGGGTTGTGAGACGTCGAGGCTCCCACATTTTCTAGACAGTCGGCTCACAGATGGAGGTGAGATTGTCAGCCTTAACGCGCCGGTCGCCCTTTGCCCCCAGGAAGATTCCTGGTACTTATTTTTGTTAGAGGCTGAGTCGACCCCAGGGCCATAGTGCGGCTGAAAGGATTAGGCAAATTGAAAAATCCAATGACCTCATCGAGAATCGACCTTCCGTCTTGTATCATAGTGTCTGAACCAACTACGCTGCCGCGTGCTCCCTCTTTGAGGTTAGTTAGTACTCTTTGAAAATGTTCATACGTCATGTTTTTTGTGGGGCGAGGGAAGGGCTACTTGTTAGTAAGATGACGTTGGTACGTCAGCACAAATATTGTGTTTCTCTACATTATCCATCGTCCTGTGTTTATTTAAACAGCGTCCTTGTTTTTATTTAAAACACGATGTTTTGGAGAATCCAGTCTCCTGAACGTTGTGTTTCGAGATATAAACAGGACGACAGATAATTTGCAGAAGCGCAATGTTTGTACATGCGCTGCACATGAACTTCGTTAATGCTGCATTTTCTGCGTCATCCTCTAATTAACGATAGGCAGTATCTTACGTCGTAGCAGATACCTTCGGTTTGTATTTGATTGATTTTAATTTGAACCCCCAAAATATTTTTCTCGTCCGACTTGGTGGTCTTTTTTGAGTCCCTTAAATATCTTTCATATTCAGTGCAGTAGTGTTTCTTGAATTAGAATATATCGGTGATTCGGTGGGTGTCCCCTTGGGTCTGACCTACTGAAGGTCTCGCTTATTTGGTGTTATAGGTGTTCTTTAAGCCGATGTCAGTCGTTGCACCGTATAAGACATGAAATGTCTTCGCCCGCTGGAACGTTGGGATCGTGGATTCAAATCCCACTCAAGACATGGATGCCTGTATGCGTTTATTCTGTGTTTGTGTTGTTCTGTATGTAGGTAGCGTCCTTGCGGTGGGCTGATCCCCCGTCCAAGGAGTCCTGCCGACTGTCTATAGGATCAAGAAACTGAAAAAGGGGCCAAGGCTCAACAAAGGGCTGTAGAGCCTTAATAATAATACGTTATTTAATCTATTCCAAACATATATATTGCCTTCAAGATTTTATCCACTCATTTTGAACCGTTGACTCTAACCTTGTACTTGGTTTTCTCTTTAGTTTGAATCCTGAAGTTCTTTTTTTTTTCTTTCTTTCTTTTCGAGCCACTGGTCTTTCCTCAAATTTAAACGCAGATATTGCCTTTAGTGGACATTCCTTTAGTTTGTGTCCACCAAAAATGCCATTTAGTGGACTTCGTGAAGCTGCTGGATGTTTTGTTTGTTCACATTGGTGCAGTTCTGATTATATATAATTATTTAATTTTTACCGATTTGTAAATTGTATGTCTTTGTACGTAAATACATATTCAGCCATTAATTAAGCCAAGGTATTGACTTGTCTAAGGTCGCATTGCTTTGTCTTGCGCTGGCAGGGCGATGTTTCTGGGTTGTTAAAGGCGCCAGTTTGTCGCCTCCTTGACAGCTCTGTATAGCCACGAGATTTCGAACTCGTTCGAAGGCGACGCACCCTCAAAGTGATCGTGTTCAACGTGTCGAAGGGGGCTTTCTGAGTGCCAGCCAACAAAATTCATAGTAAGGCAATTATGACACGTTACCCAGTTTAAATGTAGCTTATCAGTCGAGAGAATTACGTATTTCTGAAAAGCAATGCTCTTTTGTTTGTAGCATTGTTTTCTGATGCTGACTCTCGAAGCTGTAGATCACTTGGCTTCACCTTTTGGACAAGAGCAGGTGCATGCTGCTTCAAGCTACTGAATTGCTGTAATAAAGTTTAAAATTGAACTTAAGGATCATATATGATTCAGGAAAGTGATGTACCCGATTCGATATAGCATTCAAGTGAAAGTTTATAAACAGAAATGGATTTAGTTTCGAGATCCCAGACTATGAGATTGCCAACAGTATGTAAAGGGACAGCGAATTGTGTTGGCTTGCTTCACTGGTTTCATCATAAGTAGTTTGCAGTGTCTCCTAATGGCGAATAAAACGATCTTGATACCACTGATGAAGGTAGTTTTGGACTTAACACCCTTCCGATAATTATTAACCGGCCCCCTAGTCCGTCCAATCACATTCGTGTACCTACCCTTCAGTACAATTCTCATTGGCGTCCATCCTTTTTAATTCCTTTTGATATTAACCCAAACAGCCCTGAAGGTACAGATGAACGAAATGTGAGGGGTTCGGTTGCAGTTTTGCCTGTTCGATTTAACTTAACTTAGTTTAAACCCACAAAATGTATTGCCCTTTCTTTATACTGAACGTAACAAATGCATTGCCTGTTGGATTTTAAGGATAGCCGATATGGATCAGTCGCTGTAGTGACTAGCCTACGCGCTGGACCAACGAGGAACCGTGCCATGATTCTCGGCAGAAGCAAGAAGTCTCGCGTTTCCACATCGCGCAGGTCGACTCTGGGGCTCAGTCAACTTCCCTTCCGGTGGTTAGTGGGGATCTTACTCCGGAGATAAAGAGACCGGGACATTGCATCTGCGCCGAGATGAAGAATGGTCTAACTACCACATCACTCAGAATTACTGGGTTTTTGGGACTTTCTCCATCGTCCGGTACTTTAAGAACTAGAAAAAACATTTCGGAAACTGGATCTGTTTGCGTCATCAGGTGAGGGGGGAGACACCTATTGAGTTCGGTCCTTTAGAAAGAGCTAGCCTCAGTCATTGGTCCAGTTAATATGGAAAGTGATCCAGTTTCTGAGAAATTTTTTTATTGCTAGTGGGGTGGGACTAAGTCCCTTGTACTGCGGCCACTTCTGGTCTGTTGTACCAGCCCCAGATGATACGTGAGGATGATTGTGGAGCAATTGATGGAATGAATTTTGGCAGGGGAAACCGAAGTACTCGGAGAAAACCTACCCCTGCGCCACTTTGTCCACCACAAATCCCACTTGACCAGACCCGGGATCGAACCCAGGCCGCCGCGGTGGGAAGCCAGCGACTAACCGCTTGAGCTACGGCGCGGCCTTCCGAGACATTGTTTCCTAGTTTGTAGAACAGTATCGGACGATGGACAGAACCCGAAATGGCAGTAGTTCTGAGTGTTATACACCATCGCCAAAACCCTTCAGAATCTACTTACAACTTCACGTCTGATAGAGCTTCACGACCGGGTTGTTAATTGAACATAGGGTAACTTTATGTTAGGTTTAATACTTTCTTCTAGATTGTACTTGTTTGTTATCTTGTCTTTTTGATTTTATTTGCTCTGATTATTTTGAATTGATCGATTGGTTTGTCGTGCCCTTCTGATATATTTCTCTGCCGGCGTCTTCATGTATGGTGTAGCTGATAGCCATGCGTTGTACCGTTCTTTAATGTAAGGGATAGGACGCCTTAATTATAACCTCACCTGGTTAGCACCGGCGAGGCTGAGAACGCAGGCTCGTGGGAGTATAAACGTCATGTAGCCGTAATTTCCACTTACAGAAATCAGTACGGCCGTCTAGTGAACTTTGATTGCATAATATGGCAGTTCGTATCTCGTCCTATTGTCCTGATAATGAAGCCTACGTGTTAATGTTATATGGGACAGTGGCCTTCGTTAAGTAGGGCGCTGTGCTAGAGAGACTTATCTTTAGTGGAGAGGTCTTCAATCTGGATATCAGTAATCATAAGCATATTTAACATTTGTACTGTATTGATCTGCTTTAAGGAGATTTGTTATCTTTATGTATTTAATTTGTTCTTAATTAGTTCAACATCATTTTCAGTAAGTAAAACTTCGAATGGTAGGATGATAATGGGTAATGAATCGGAAAGGAGCGGTCATGCTGTTGCTTGAGGTGCTATACGATCTCTGCATTTGCGTGGAGGGATTGAGAAAAATTACGAAACACCTCAGCCAAGATATTCGGTCTCTATATCGAGACTGGAACCCGGGACCTCCTGAACACTAAGTATGAGTGGTGATTGGTCGGGCAGCTGTATGGTTCGTTGATGCCCATTCACATCGATAGTTTTGTTTCTGGGATTTTTTCATCTTTCCGATCGGGAGCAGATGACAGAGAACAAGAAGTTCTGGGAAGAACTAATCGCCTTTTCTTTCTTACGGCAAGGACGGCATAGCAAAGGACGCCGCCAGCAATTCTTCTTTACCGCGTTGTTACCTCTCAACGATAGGGAGTTGCTTGTATTCGTTGCAGTAGGAACGTGTTTGGCAAGCCGTTGCCTAGCAACGAAAGGAGGGATACACCGATCCCTTGCCTAGCAACGGTAGGAAGAATACACATACAGACACAAACTAAGGGGGGATGGATTTATGAAGTACACTGTTGAGATGGGTTCAGGTGCCATTATATGCGTACCATGTTTCATAAAGATAGGTTCAGGCATTCAAAACAGCATGGAGATCGCATTAGCCTACTTTATTTTTTTTTTAAATAATTAAAGTTAAAAGGTAAACGGTAAAGTTGTCCCTGTGCTTAAATAATTAAGAAGTACGTCATGAAGGCGCATGGGTCAGTGGAAGTATATATCCACATTTTCTTCACCTCGGCACTAGCTAGGGATGAGTGGTCAGTTTCACGCCCCGACCGCTTCACCCCCCCCCAGGGAAAGAGCTCCCGATGCCCATTAGATAGGAAGCTGGGTGGGCCCCAGACCCTGTATGGACGACGTGGAGTAGAGAAAATTCTTGACCTTACCGGGACTTGAACTCCTACCAGTCGGTTGTCCAGCCCGAAAGTAAGCTAATAAAACAACATTAAAACGAGGAAGGATTTTAAATATGTCAAATGCTATCAGAATGAATCTTAGAGGAATATTGTGTGATTGTACCGGACTGGTGGAGGAACATAGACTGAGGGTGTTGAGGAGAATATTTGGACCGAAGAGAGATGATGTGACAGCAGGTTTGAGAAAACTGCATAATGAGGAGCTTCATAACTTGTATTCTTCTCCAACTATAATTAGGATGATCAAGTCAAGGAGAATGAGGTGGGCATGGCATGTAGCACGAGTGGGGGACAAGAGGAATGCATATAGGATACTGGTGGGAAAGCCAGTAGAAGAGACACCACTGGGAAGACCAAGGCGTAGGTGGGTGGACAGTATTAAAATAGATCTTAAAGAGGTAGGATGGGATGATGTGGATTGGATTGATCTAACTCAGGATAGGGACTAGTGGAGGGCTCTCGTGAACACGGTAATGAACCTTCTGGTTCCATAAGATGCTGGGAAATTCTTGAGTAGCTCCAGAATTGGCGGCTCCTCAAGAACGGCTCAGCTGCGTGAGTAAGTAAGTACTGGACTGGTAACCGCTAGTGATCATCATGCAGTCTACGAGTAATTCGACGCCTTTTAACTTGTACAGTTGGAACAGAACATAAGAACCAATGAGTGGGAATCATTTTTACTGAGATGTGAGCTACCACTCTTAATTTTCAGAAAATCAAGTCACGTTCATTCGCTGACTCCCCAGTAACATCTCCAAATTATTTTCATCTTTAAATGTAATCATATTTTTAACCGTTTTGCAATGTTGCAGTATAGATCTCCTTGATACTTTCATTTGTATGTTATACTCAAGGTCAGAATGCACTTTCATATGTTTATTTTTTGATATATTCACTTTGTACATATTTACAAAGTCAACTTTTTTATCTTTCTTTTTGCCAATGACCTTCCTGAGAAATTCAGTTAAGTACAGATATTGGTTGGCTGTGTAGAGCACGTAATACGGTTTATCTTCAGTGACATGTATCGTGCTGTTTCGAAATACTAAATGGAGTGAGTGGCTTCGTCTGTCTGCACATTTCATTCCCTTGAACAGTGTAAAGAGAACTGCTTGCTTCTGTCGGTGTTTCACTAGCAATGCCATGTTGTCATTCAATTATATTGTTACGTGTTTCTAGTGGTGACTAATAATAGCGGGCTCTGGATTGGATGACTGCATTTATTAACACCTTCTTTCACAATCTCTCTTATTCACAATGAGTTATAGCGCTATCGCCAATCTATCCACTTCACAAATCACTCGGACAAGTTCCATTCTCGGTCTCCGCTGTACTCCGTTATACTCCTTCAATTCTCATACTCGTTCTTCCACAACTGGCAGCTTCACAACTCTACTCTCTAGTATCTACTTTTCACGGACCACACGGAAAACGGAGCCTTTATTTTTGACAAAGCCTGTTTATCGTGCCGTTTCCCAACAATAGATCTCCTTTTGTTCTTCGCTTCTGCGGGACTATGTTTACCAACCCGTTGCCTAGCAGTGGCCATGGCGCGGACCACCTAGAAAACAAATATTACAATACCTTTTCTATTGTTGCCTAGGCATCTACAAACAAAACAAATACACTTCGTGGCTTTAGTCCGCAAGCGAACTATACCGATTGAGTGACCGCCGCNTATGTTTACCAACCCGTTGCCTAGCAGTGGCCATGGCGCGGACCACCTAGAAAACAAATATTACAATACCTTTTCTATTGTTGCCTAGAAATGCATCTACAAACAAAACAAATACACTTCGTGGCTTTAGTCCGCAAGCGAACTATACCGACTGAGTGACCGCCGCTTGTCTGCGACGTTAATGCCAACTTTAGCGGATAGAGGGTGTCGGGTGATCAGCGCAACAAATCCCCACGGCCGTTAGTTTCGGTTTTCTAGACCGGAGCCGCTATTTCCTTGAAATATCTCCTCAATTATCCTTACGAGGCTGAGTTGACCCCGTTTCAGACCCACTACTCCTCAGAAAATCTGGTAGCGCTGGGAATCGAACCCGGAACCTTAGGATCTGTAGCCAGGAACTCTGACCACAAGACAGCAGAGGCGGTCAGAAATGGGTCTGCATGTCACAACAATGTAAAGCGAAGCTGGTTGCTTCTGAGGACTGGAGTTTCCTGTCTGCTTTTCTCATCCTATTGTGAAGACTGAAGAGAAATAACATTTGTCTCTCTCCGAGTTTCATTGCATTATGACACAAAGAGAGCCTGGTGCGTCTGTCCTCACGTTTCATTACGAAGTGTAAAGAGGAGAGGTTTGTCGCCTCGGGACTCTAATCTTGAATGCGATTCTTCCACACCCTGGGAAACTGAAGCCCAATCTGCACGTGTTTCGTCTTAAAATAAACGAAACATATTTTAGATTACTTATCTGTCGCAAGTTGTAAACAAACACTTGTAATGTCTGGTATATGCTTCTTTTTGTCGGGTTTCTTGTTAGATTTCAGCTCCCTCCTGTCTTCCTTCTGTCTCTGTTTGCACACGATATTTTTTTTTCTCCGACTGCTTTCTAAATTCGCATGGTTACATAATATTGTAATATTGATTTGTCTTAGTTAGAGGAGCCAGGATAGCGCAGTCACTATGGCGACTGGCTACGGACTGGACGACCAAAGGATCGGAGTTCGAGTTCCGATAGTGTCAAGAATTTTCTCTTGTCCAAGTCGTCCAGACCGGCTCTGGTGTCCATCCAGTGGGTGTCGGGGGTGAAGCGGCCGGGGCGTGAAGCTGACCATTCACCTCTAACTAGTGCCGAGGTCAATGAAATGTGGATCTATACATCCACGCCCCCCATACGCCTTCATGGCATAGTGCTTAATTAGTTAAGTACAGGGACAACTTTACATTACCTTTTGACGTTCTGTATTGAAATACGACAGATTCGTTAAATACGCCTTAAAATAAATAAATAAATAAATAAATAAATAAAGGAGTTTTGAGTACATGGGCCGGACGTACGTTAACGTACGTTCTTACCAGTCGCCTAGAGAGACTGAAGATAGGTACGGAAGACCTCACGATACCAAGCAACACACTCAAGATTCGAATGGGATACCTCCCGAATACTAGCAAGCTACGTTAGCTTGCTCGGTAAAACGTTCGGTAAGGAAGCTGCTGTATATCAAAGGAAAATATTACATTGAATTTTAAGGAAGCTGTTTATGAAAATGTGGATTGGACAGAGCTGACTCAGTGTATGGTCCAGTAGCGTGTTCTTGTTCATTTTATGCTGTTGATGTAGAAATATCTTATGTGAGAGTCAGTAAACAGGTCGCAAATGGATATAAATCGTAAAATATGTAATACTGAACCCTGGAAGAAACATTTATTTCTCGACATATCCTCCACCAACATTGATACACTTGCCCCATTGCTTTACCAGTGCGTCGAAATCCGCAGCGTAGAAGTAATTTTGGCTGTTATCTCCGCCACTTCCGCACTTGGTCGGGCATAATCTGCGGCTTTCGAACGTCCTTGAGAGAATTTCGCGACCTAGTTGTGAACCGCTTTACGTTACAAACACCCCCCACCGTAAACATGAAACATTCTTTTATTAATATCGTTTGCATTGAGTCCTTTTGCTCACAAAAAAGAACGCACAACAGAACGATGCTTCTCGGTATAATACTCCTCGTGCACTGTCTCCATTTTGACTACTGAAACCAGCCTCTTAACATGGTCATATATGTTTGCTACCTAGATTGTCATGAAGCTGAACTGTGGTGCTACCTAGTGATACACATACAGAAAACATATTACGTCCATAACGGCTGTTTTACTTCCATTTGTGACCTATTTACAGACTCTCCTTCATATATGTGCGTTTACATCAACGCAGCTACAGCGTTCTGTATATACAGTTTAGAAGTAAAATCTTTTGAAATGATGGATGTCAGGGTAATTATTTTTTACAAATTTATGGATTCGATAATGTTCGGTCGTGTTAGTTGTTAATGCAGTGTCATACTATTTTGAGATTCTCTCATTGAATATCTCATGTAAAATTCTTTAAAATGTTTTAAATATATCCTTCAAATTTATCGTTATTCTTCTGCATGGGAACTTTGTCTGGTGCTGGACTTCCGTCGTTTATCACTTTTCACAAACATCGTCACTGATGACGTAACTGGAGTGGCACGGCTAACGTCCGCAGCCGCCAGAGTATGCCTTTGTGTTAAGGCATTGTCTTTTCCTTTGTCCAGAGGTGCTCTGAAGATAGACGTCTGAACTAGTCACGTGTTAGAAGAAGATGGCAGCCATTCCTCTTTGATCATATCCGATGCCTTTTCAGCGATCATTATCGCGGGCGCATTAGTGTTACCAGAAACGATAAAGGGCATTATGGATGCGTCGACAACTCTGAGGTTCCAGGTGCCATACACTCGGAGTCTAGGGTCGACCACGGCGTCCGGGTCTGTAGCAGGTCCCATCTTGCATGTGCCCACCGGGTGGTAGATCGTCATAGTATAGTGCCTTGCCGCGCATTCCCAGTACTCGTCAGACAAGAACTCGAGGTGTCGGCAGCCAGGGATCTGTATCTCGTTAATGCGTGCTGATAGTTGCTGCATCCTTCGAGTCTTGCTCAACGCGTATCCGAACTTGGCTCCTTCAATCTGCAACAGGAAATGTCACAGGAAGATTTAGGGCTCTTGAGCCGGTGTAGTGACGGGTTACGGGCTAGACGGCCGACCTTCGATTCTCGGCAGAGGCAAGAGAATTTTCCCATAGTGTCCAGACCGGCTTTGCGGTCCACCAAACCTCTTGGACGTGAAGCTGACCTCTCACCTCCATCGTTTGCCGAGGTCACGTATGGTAGACCTGGAATTCCACTGCCTCGTAATTTTTCATGGCGTAAAGCGTAATTAATTAAGCACAGGGACAACTTTACCTTTACCACGCATGTCTGCTCTTTACGTACTGCAGTGGTTCCTAATTTCAGATCACATACAGGTCAGGCTGCGGCGATCCTCGGGAACACCGCAGTGGATAATACTGTGACGTATAGACCCATTGCTAGGTAACTACCCTGTAAACACATCCCCGCGGAAGCGTACACGGTCAACAGTAGGACGTCCATTGCTAGGCAACGGATCAGTAAACAAGCCTTCTCAACAATAGAGAGGATGTGTTTGCTTCGTGGTCCGTGCCGGGGAGTTATAAAGGGGGGAAAAGTTCATTTCAGTCAGTTACCCATGTTGAGGCGTGGTCGAATACCTCCACCGTGACCCTGCGAGTCTTAGGAGGCGACGGAGAGAGAAGTCTCAAATCTGAAACAGTAAAATATGGTCGCGAGTCCCAAGGGAGTCGGACCCAAGAAAGACTGCGCTGACCAAGACCAGCAGCATATACAAAAGACAGACCCGCCCCCTCGTTAGAGAGGGCGCCCCACAAAAACAAGACCGTAACTGTCAAACATTTGGGGCTCGACACCAAGACTAAATGACTGACTGACCGTCAGTCACAGTGTGACCTTGACTTTGAGTCAGTTATTGTCAAGAATTGGGTCGAGTTTTTGAGATGACAGACTAAGGTGGAGTTATAAATGACAGGAAATGAAGTAGACTGTGCAAAGAAGACTTCATGTATGATTTTAAGTGCCAGGGAGTCTGTGATAAATCCATTGCCAGGATATGACTAATGACTGAGAAACCTAATGCGCGTGTAACGGTGAACTGTAAAGTGTGTAGAATAGCGCTAGCGCTGTAATAGCCTGTAGTTCCGAGTGGTGTGTATAAGGTGCCAATAGATCCAATCATCCAATCCAAAACCATTCTTATAAGTCACACACAAACCCCATACACGTGACAGTACTTATTTGTTCGTGCCCGTGATAGTTAAGCCATGGTCTGCAACTACATACTTACTAGCACTGCAATGTCGTCGGGATGGTGAAAGTAGTTAGGGTATATAAGTGGATGCTCATGTGGGTTGGCGTTCTTGAGGCGTATCCTGCCCCGACTCTTGGGTCTCAGGAGCAGGGGCAGCACGGAGTACGAGTCCTTATACAGATTAGGTTCGTACATAACAGCGTAATACTCGTCCGTAAGCCCGTTGTCTTTCTTGCCGAACAGCCCTCCGTCCGTGTTGTCCGCATAGGACGCGAGGAACAGCTGTATGTCGGGCCAGTCCTCTGTGTGGTTTGCGTACCTACATTGTGCAGAATACACGCATACATTTTAACTCGTTGCTGTGCCATATATCTTGAGGCTGTTCATAAATAATTAGGGATTCTATCTGTCTGTGGCTCTACAGCCCTTTCGTTGGACCTTGGCCCCTTTTTTTCAGTTCCTTAATCCTATACACAGTCGGTAGAACTCCTTGGACGGGGGGGTAATCCCGGCACAAGGCTCCTACCTACACATAGAACAGCATAAACACAGAATAAACACACACAGACATCCATGCATTGAGTGAGATTCGAACCCACGATCCCAGCTTTTGAGCGAGCGAAGTCCGCGCGGTCACTGTGATCGGCAATTAGGGATTGAGATTTTCGAATTAAACCCTTCCGTACTCAACAGTATGAGCTAAGTAAAATTCTGATAAGCGGTTAATTCATGGATTGATTGGCTAGTTCGTTTGTTTTCTCCCACATACGTATGCAAATTTGTTGCTTGTTTGTATGAGATTTTGTTGTTTGTGATTTGTTCAATGAATAATGAATTCAGTAGGATTTGAGGATCTCACAGCGGTGGTTATGAATAGTACTGTTCGCCGTGTAGCCCTTTGAAAGTGAACCGACCTTTCAAAGGAACATAACCTCCGGCATCCTGCTCGGCTTATTCGTCCCTCAAGATGGAGGCGATATGTTACTCCGAAACGTCGATTGATTTTCGACGGACTACACGGTTGTATATGCCACAAGATAGTACTCTTCAGTAATGAAAGTTTGTGTTATAGACTGGGGGTGTTTTGGAAATAGTTTTCTTAAGAGAGTATTTGGGCCGAAGAGGGATTACAATGGTAGAATGTTGGGGAAAAATGCATAATGAGAAGCTTCACAACTTGTACTCTTCGTCAAATATAATCAGAACAAGAAGAACTGAGCTCCATGGAATTACTTAGTTGTGGAACAAAACAATCTACTCACTTTGTATTAATGAAAGCCATGACTTCAGCTTCAGGCAGAGCATAGAGAGGGCCTCTTGATTGGACGGCGAAGTTGAGGAGTGTATTCATAGTCATGATTTTCGGTAGGACGAAACTGGCTCCAAAGTTATCCATGTGAGCTGGTGACTCTATGAGATATGCCGTTCCTCCCATTGCCACGTGATCCTGAAGGTTCTCGCCAACAGCCGGCATATTCACAATCGGATGAATGCCCATCTCCCTAAGATGGTCACTTGGTCCCACTCCCGATAGCATAAGAATCTGAGGGGACTGGACAGACCCAGCCGACAGGATGACTTCTTTGTCAGCATATACCTGCAATGGAGCTCCAGAAATGACATTTATTATGCTCTCTTGATAATATATCAGTTGTCGCTATTTGGAGTGCCGTGAACTGTAGATAACTTCCGTATATGTTTGTTATAAGAGTGCATCCTGTTTATGTTGTCTTGTACGCCGTACGATAAACCGTCACACAAGCTTATACAGAGATTGATGAAATCACTGCTCTGCGCTTCACGGCGACCGGTGCGCTGCTTGCCGCAAGGAGAATGTAAATTTTGCCAATTAATCAGCATGCCTGACGGCCGATAACGTTCGGAATGAAGTAATTAACAATTCACAGATTACAGGTGGTGTTGAAAATGCTGCCCTTTTACACGTAGATATTTTTCACAATTAATTGTTTCGTTAAAAAACACATGTACAACAATCTTTCTCGCACTTACAGCACACCAGACACCAGCTTTCACTAGATGGCTTCAGCAATTGTGTTGCCGTTCTTGCGCTAGACTTTGACAGTCTAGTCTCCTGAGCTAGACGTTTCACTGATTTTCTAGGTGTCTTCAAGTCTGGCCCCTATGTCCTCTAACTTCTCCTCAGTAAGGACTCGGTGCTTATTTTTTTGTTTCATGTCTCTTCAGAGCCCCGTTCTACGTTTATTCTCCAAATTGTGAATTGTCTGCTGGGAAGTCTTTCATCACGAAATTTTCGTCGACACTTCCTAGCAGATCCATATTTCACATAGGTGTCATACAGAAATACACATTGCTCTAAAGTATACCGCACCATGACTCACCACAGTGCTCACTAACTGTAACTGAGAACAAATGGCTAACAGAGCTGGTAGCTGCTGCCTACTGCTGACAAATCATAAACAAACTCTCACACATGAACCGCACTGCTTGCCGTGAAACATAAAGCCCTCAAGCTGTCTACAAATTGATTACTTCCCTTCATTCCAACCGTTATCGGCTGATTCATCGGAAAAATTCGTACGCGCCTCACGGGAGGAGGCGCATCGGCCGCCGTGAAGCGCAGAGTCGTGATCTCGTCAACTTACTAAAAATCATTCCTGTATATAAAACTCTTTTTTGATGTTTCGACCGTGAACGATCATCATCAGGTGATATACATAAAATAGCCATATATAAACTATAAGTATAAATTTGTTAGTGTGGAAATGTGTAACAGTATATAGAACATAATATTAAAATCAGGTCGGATCCGACTAAATTTTTCAAAAACAGGTGTACAATAGCAGTATTTGTCCAGAATACAAGAACCCCCCTCCCTGTGGAGTGAAACGCTTTCTGTTTGGTTCGAATTCTTTTATATGACTTGGCACGACGGGCTCTTTCTTACATTATAACTGCCTTTTCGTATATTGCCTTCTTGATCTGTCCAAGTTAAAGTATAACTTTGAGTTGTACAACGGTTCGTTGTTGTTGAACTGTTGGTGACTTGCTGGGGATGCGTTGAAAAAATTATACAAAGTGTATCAAATTTTGACGCAGTTTTGCAGTTACATTAATTCTGTAATTCAGAATGCATAACGTACCCATGTTATAAGTATTCAGAAATACGTGACACAGTAGGATGCTTTTGGTACGTAGACAACATTTTAATTAAATAAATAAAGTAAAGGTATCCCTGTAACAGGCCGTGGAGACCCATAGGTCTGTGAGATGTTGAGGCTCCCACATTTGCTCTAGACGATCGGCTCAGAGATGGCAGTAAGGTTGTCAGCCTTACCCGCCGGCCGTCCTTTACTCCCAGGAATATTCCTGGTACTCATTCTCTTAGAGGCTGAGTCGACCCCAGGGCCATAGTGCGGCTGGAAGGATTAGGTAAATTGAAAAAAAAAATCACCTCATCGGGATTCGATCCCGCGACCTTCTGACTTGTAGCATAGTACGTCAACCAACTATACTACCGCGTGCCCAATTTGTAATTAAATACCGAATTAAATAAGAAATATATTATTCTTACATCACATAATCAGCGTGGACAGCGAGAATTTCGCATATATCGGAAACCTACGTACATTCCTATATACGTATGCAGTTGTCCCGAATGACTCTCGCCACCCGCTCAAACAAAACGGCAGGTTATATTATTTAATGAGTGGAGTCATTACCTGCCTTGTTTTCTCTGGAAGAAAAGTCAGAGTAAATAGTAACCAGAAACTATACAAAAAACAGTGTATGATTCACCACAACCCGAAATTTCAATCTGAACAGTATAACCGAAATCACATTGAAACAGCAAAATCAGAACAAAAGTGGACCACTCTTATCTGCTTTGGTAAAGAAAGTTGAACAATCTCTCGACTGCTCAAAGATACCGAATAAAAAAAGTGCTTAAAGACAGTAATTCTAAAAGAAATTACTTAAAACTAAAACTCCGTAGCCTGTAGTCCGCAAGCGAACTATACCGACCGAGCGACCGCCACTTGTCGGCGAAGTTAGTGCCAACTTTAGCGGATAGAGGGTGTCGCGTGGTTAGCGCAACGGATCCTCACGGACGTTAATCTCGGTTTTCTAGACCGGAGCCGCTATTTCCCTGAAATAGCTCCTCAATTATCGTCACGAGGCTGAGTGGACCCCGTTCCAGACCCACTATTTCTCAGAAAATCTGGTAGTGCCGGTAATGGAACCCGGATCTCTGGATCTGTAACCAGGAACTCTAACCGCTTGAGCTATGGCGCGGCCAATAACACATCAGCCCTTACCTTCAAGGGCATATATTGCACTCCGTCGGTAAGCAAAATTGCACCGTTAACCCCAATATTGATCTAAGTGTACAGTTCATCAGAACTTACGTGTAGATACCCCTACTATAATACTCGTATTTCAGATCTGTCCCATTCACTCACCAACAGTATTTGAAGAATTTATTTTACGTAGGTACTATTGATGACTGAGTCGATGTAGCGACTGGCTACTGGCTGGACGACCGAGGGGTCGGAATTCGAGTCCCGGTAGGGTCAAGAATTTTTCATTTTCCATGTCGCCTAGGCCGGCTCTGAGGTCAATCCAACCGCCTATCCAGTGTGTACCGGGGGTAAAGCGGCCGGGAAATGAAGCTGACCACTCACCTCCAACTAGTGCCGAGGTCAAGAAAAACGTGGGTCTATACATTCACTCCCCCATACGCCTTCACGTAGTACTGCTTAATTAGTTAAGTACAGCGACAACTTTACCTTTTTACTTTTTACCTTACTATGGGCAGATTATGTCCTCGTAAAATCATATGCCAGTGGGTTTAGTTTCATGGATTTATTTGAATTTGAAATAAGAGTTTGATTTGAGTTAGTGTAATGCAGTGCCTTCATCGTAAGCATAATTAATTTTTAAGGAGCTTCAAATCACAAAAGCCAAAACTCTCATGCTTTATTCATGTTTGTAGATGCTTAAAAATCGAACTGTTAATTAGGTTGGGAATGTGTTTAAGTAACTGTAATCTTTTCCTTGTTCTAGCTGCGTTTCTTAGATTGACAAATGAGGTGTCTAAAGCGCCATGATGGTAGCCAATCCCCGATAAATAAATAATTATGTAGATAACCCATAAGTAGATAAACAAATAAATGGAGAAGATAAGGCTGTACCTGTACCCTGACAAGACCCCGTGGCGGTATATGAGCGGAGAGGAATCCAGCACGCATTCTTATTCTTGACTAAAGGGGTCAGGGTCATTTTGACGCCGCGTCGGGTAGAGTTCCTGATAGGCCTCCCCGTTGTATGTGAGGCTGAGTGGGTCCCAAAGCCGATATGGACTTAGTAATAGAGGAAGAAATCTGTTGTAGCTAGTATCTCTTTCTGGAAGCGAAAGGCTTTTCGGTATTTCGTTGTGTCCCCAATATGGAGATCTAACTGTCTATGAAGAAAGCAGTCTTCTGGGATTTTGCACCGTGTATATGTGGTGTTAACCGACGTTTCGGAGGAACGTATCGCCTCCATCTTCAGGGTAGAAGAAAAAATATGTAAGTCTGCAAGCAAAGAGACCGTGAGAACCGGTAAAAGCAGACT